CAAAAGAGCATGTCTTTGTGTTTATGTACTTTCCACCACAGTCTCATTCCCACCCAATCTGTTTCGTTGCAAGCAACTGATGACGCACCACGTACTATTATACCTGACGCACATCACATACACAGCATGTTGTACACGTGGTATTTGTGACACATGTGAACGATGGCCGCGTGTCACGCCGTTGGCGAGTTATCAACATTTTTATGGCTTTGCGGCCATCTTGTAATGGCAACTCTGGGGATAAAATTGATAAAACGGCTGTGTTATGGCGTTCATTAAGAGAGGGTCGTTTTGCTGCCCATTCTCGGATATTGTCCATCGTCGCACACTTGTGCCCTGACAATGGGCGAGTCATAGGCTCTATTAGACCGTCGTTCATAATATGAGTTTGCTGAAAGTAGTAGGAATATTATAGTGTGGATATAAATTTGTGTGCTATCGTATTCGTTGATATCGACAATATAGTAATTTAGATCAGAACAATCTGTCGGTAGCTCACATCAACTACGACGATTTCGGTAAAAAAAACTGGCTACATGTTTAAATTGAGGATGGAATGTCTAGTTGTATTAATAGTCAAAGACAATGCCAACTTACCAGCGTGTTATTAAGTAAATTGGGGGGTGCCAATTACTGAAATGTATTCCATTGAATTCCGAGTATGCAATGTGCATATCTATTTTTTTTTTTCAAAATAAAGGCATATTTCGAGTAATTGCTTTCCCTGAGAACATGTATGCAAGTAAATAATTAGACACACTAGATCTTAAAACACAATAATCCAGACCTGTGTTTGTTTGGTTTCAGCTCCAAGAAAAGAGAAGGTATATTTTGTTTGTGATTAATATATCGGTATCGAATTTGTATTGGATACTTATGTCCGAAAAATTATTCTTGTCGGATGCAGGGTTTGAAGTATGTTTGAAGGATGAAATTCGTACAAAGGCTGTACAACTTATATAATTATTTCAAGAGTATTACTCTAAGAAAGACTACAATTTAAGATACAAAAATATATAATCGTAACCGTTATTAGGTAATGTCAGCTACTAGATAACCTATGCTAACTTATGCCAACTTTAAATGGATCGAAAAGCACTGTCCTCTATTTATACTATAAACTTTCAATAATTGCAATGTTAAAATTATATTTTTCCGCTGTACCTTCATCCTGAACAAATACAACCCTAAATACATTGCACACAAAGACCAATAGTAAATACAAACACTTATGTTCTAGGCTTTTCATTGGTGTAAAAAGACAAATCAAATCAAAATCTGTTTTATTTCCAATTTTTTTACAATATATACATATACAAAATACAAAGAACAATGTTTATGCAAAAACCACAAATAAACACAACCACTTGGAAGAGGAGCTTGCAGAAGGCGCATTGCTACTTGAGTGGAAATAACCTATCAATTGGGATAAGAAACAAGAAAGTAAAATAAAGGTGAGAGGTGATAAAAGTAGTCGACGGATCAATGGTCCTAACCGGTGTTCCCGGGTTTATTGCTACTTATAACGGCTCCTCGGTGCCTTATCTCCTTCTGTTCTTAACTTTATCCGCAGCCAACATCACCCCCTCCCCCCCCCCCCCCTTAGACTTCAATATACTTCCTGTCTCGATGATTGGTTGTGGGCAAACATCAACAGTTGATTTGTCGGATCAACTTGTACATAGCAAAGTATCATATTTGAATCGACGATATTTTAAGTAACCTTTACACTTGGCAGCATATTTAGCATTTTTAACACTATATAAGGCTTTGCGTAAATGGATATCACTTGACTGATTGTTATGTACTGATTATAAATCTACTATTTTTGCAAACTTATATCTTGGTATATTTGGAAATTGAAATGATTAAATTCACGTATATTATTTTTCTTATTTGAGGCTCTAGGATGGTAGCCATTATGGTTTCAACTTTTTAAAATTTTATGTTTGAAGTTTAGTTTATGTATACAGTTATTTTTGGCACCATAAGACTCTACATAAGTAAATCACATTAAAAATTATAGATCGAAATGTTTTGCAAAAGGTTGTATATGTGATTTACATTTTGGGTCCCAACACTTTTACTCCTTACTGTCTTTTTTGGAAACAGTTTTTGGAAACAAATTATAATTTTCGAAAATTGTGATAAATTTAAAAGTGACAATGATATATGGTATTATTACTGTCACTCTTTAAATATCATTTTTTTTTTACAAAACTATCAACACATTTAGACGAGTCCACAATCGTTTTATGGATTGTCGAAAACTGTTCTGTAAATACAAAAACGAACAAATATATATATATATATATTTTTTTTTATTCAAGTAGTACTTTGAATAACAATATTTTATTTTCAGTATTTGTGTCACTTTTACTCTTGACAATCAATGTAAGAACTTTCCCTTGAAAATTACTTGTAGTATAACTGCTAAGCGATTACCACTTATTAGTTAACATTATGTAAAACGTAAAACATATTCAACATCCGGTTAATGGTAGTTTTCCCTGCAAGTTGGTGGTTAGAACTGCAACGTCATAGGTTCATTAGATCGCACGACGGTTTATATCGGTCATATTGCGCTATGACCTACTTATACAGTATTGTCTACCATATGTGCCTTATAACTCACTACTATTGTTTCGTTATGGCTCCATTGGTTCTCATGGTGCACCATAAGTAACAGAGCTGGACTCGACTTACACTATTTATCCTTTGAAACAAACCTATATTCTAGTTATTGTATCTAGTTGTGTATAGTTGTCGCCATAGGATTTTCATTACCATAAAAGTTGAGTCGACAACACATTTTTAAGGACCTTTTAACAATGACATACCTAATAGTTCTACAAATTCTGTGTATATTATGATTACAAAAACATGAACTTTAGTAAGCAACATTTATAATGAAATAGTTGAGTTACAAAACCTCAATTTACGTTTTGACTATTCATTTAATTATTCAACGCTGGCTCTAAACAATCTTTGAAACTAGCGAATTCTCATGGTCAGGAACATTAGGAGAAAAATTTAATATGAAGTTCTATTTGTGTAATGTTGGACGTAATGAGGTGCGGAGAGAGACATTTCAATTCTATGTGGTTCACGCACCAAACTTCAGACAAGGATAAGAAAAGAATCACGATATTTTCTTTTAAGAGAAGAGGTCAAAATCAACTTTTGTAATGTCTTTTGTAATGCAATCTTGTGATGTCCCAGAAGATAGGAGCAATGCAAAAAGACAGCTACCTATTTTTCCTTCTATCCTCATTATAAGCCTGATTGGAATTGTCCTCTGCTACAAATCTCCATAAATGTTCAACGATTTTTCCTCGTTATACTCCAACACCTTTTGAACAGGTCCTTTTCAACTCTGTGTACCACCCCGACTACTAATGGTGGCTTAAAATATTTTAACCCAGATTAACCTCCATTATTGCCATTCGCAATACGTGTATAAGCCAAGTGTTAGAACTTGACATTGTTGAATCATGCTTTTTCAACAATAAAAATATTCAAACATATTTCCAAAACTTGGAACATATTTTTCGCATAAGCGTAAAATTTACCCATTTTATTTCTAGTTGCTCGCAAGACATTCATAATTAATGAATGGCGCATCTGAATGACCACATTCCTTCTCGTCGGACCGAGACATCTCTAATTGTCACAAGCCCAGCTGGCCAACTAATGACATACCCTGGCCAGCCGGGCCTTTAATAAACTAGAACACCTGGCCACATCAATGGACATCTAGAACATCGTCCATTGAGCCGCGGTCACGATAAGGTCTAATTGCAGCTTGCACATCCCCATCAATGGATGACTGGTTTTATTGAGTCGTGGCCTGCTAAACTCAGAACGGGCATTAATGATTTGTCACATCTTGACGGGCATCATTACACATTCGTAGCGCTGGTTACAAACATCATTACGTGATTGAAATGGTTGTGTTGGTAATGATGGGTAATGTTTATAGTTATTGTAATTGATACTTAACAAGTTGTACGGGCTTACAGGGTCGTTTAGGTGTAATTGGTATTCCTTGTAATAGTTTATCTGAAAAAGGTTATGAAAACGTTTATGATATTTTTTTCAACGATAGTTGTAACATAAGTTTTTGTAAATTGTGTTAGGAGTTTTAAATAACACATTATAATTAAATACATACCTTACATTCCTAACAAGGGAAATCGTGTGTTTAAACAGTTTAATCCACTGTACTTTCACGTATAAGAATGAGTATTCCAATACGTCTGACCATGCATTTTGGCGCAGAGTTATGAATAGAACTCGGTATTTTGTCTCATAGATTCAGGTGTCATATACTTTAAACTACCTAACAGTAAATAGGATTTTAAGTTTACAAGCAATACGGTAAAAACTTACACTTCCTTAGAGACTTTTACTTGCAAAATCAATAATTTTAAATGCAACGGTCGTGTTTATTATCTCTGTTTAACAACCCGATGCGTTAGTCTCATTTGGAAGGAATGCCCATGCGTTGTTGTGGTCTGGGTTGGATGCGACAGATAAAGCAATCTGTTTGGCATCGGTTCAGTCGTGGCTTGTTAGTAATTACCTCGGAACACGCCGATGTTGTGGACCGACTTACCACCACGGTGTGCTGCTGTTTAAAGTCATGTTTCCCGTTGTTAAAGAAAATAACACAACTATGTCGAAAAAATTACACATATAGTTTAAGTCTTTTAAGTGTTTGTATATCTTGTCAGTGGCTATCCCCTAACCTGAAGAAGAAGGAATTGATAAAATGGGTACTAGGTGTTTCAACAATATTCTAGTCTTTATATAGTTATTGTTGTATTAAGTATGTTCTTTTAGTCATATGATTTATTTGTGTTTAAATATCTTTTGTTGACAGATGTTTTTTGAAAACATGTTTTGGTAAACATTGGTTTAGTTGGAAATAGAGTTTGTTGAAACAAGATGTGGAAGGAGAAAACAAGAAACCTGTGGCATATATATCTCGGACTCTAATGCCTGTTGAAGAAAACTACAGTAACATTGAGAGAGAAGCGCTTGCGTGCACTTGGGCAAGTGACCGTTTAAAATGTTTCCTGATGGGTAAAATGTACACAATTGAGAGCGACCACAAACCGCTTGTCTCAATTTTCAAAAGACAAAATTTGGAAGAGCTCTCACCGAGGCTACAGCGATTCCGAATGCGTATGATGAGATACGATTATCGCATGACCTGGACCCCAAGAAAAGACCTTGCCATAGCAGATCTGCTATCGAGATGTCCTATTCCGGCTAATGAAGATGGCGAATTGACAGAAGAAGTGGAAGCCTTCGTCCATGAAATCAGTATGATTAGAATAAACACTACAGACGAAAATGTGACAAAAGTACTTCACTCACAAATGAGGGATCCAATATGTGCACAACTCAAGCTAAACATTTTAGACGAATGGCCTGGAAAATCAAGTTTACCTAATGGGATTCAAGAATACTTTAACGTGAAAGACGAGTTAAGTTGTATTGATGGGTTATTGCTTCGAGGAACTCGGATGATAATACCTCATGAACTACGAGCGGAAATGCTTGAGAGGCTTCACAGTGGGCACTTGGGAATCACAAAAACAAGGAAACGTGCTTTGGAAACCATGTGGTGGCCTGGAATTTCTCAAGAAATAGAAAGAAAAATAAGAGACAATCTTCCATATACTTTGGTTGGAAATCCTGTTGAAAATAAAGACTTTTTTGAGAGGGAGAATAAGTACCAGTCGAAGTAAAAGATGCAATTTGATAAACGACATGGAACGAGGGGTTTAAGTGAATTAGAAGAGGGAAGCATGGTATGGATCACAGATCTACGTAGACATGGTAAAGTAGTCAGGAAATTGAACGAACCACGTTTCTACCTTGTGGACATTGACAAGAAAACCATTCGACGAAACCAGAAGTTCTTAGTTCCTGCACCATACTACGGAGAAGATTGCATTCTTTCAAACTGTTCATCTACGGCCCTTAATTGTCCATCTAACTCACGTGATCGTCCAGACGCTGGCACAGTTACCCATTACGGAAGGTCCATCAAGATACCGAGGCGGTACCGAGCTTCATGAAGATGTAGACATCTTGAGGCGGGATGTTGTATTAAGTATGTTCTTTTAGTCATATGATTTATTTGTGTTTAAATATCTTTTGTTGACAGATGTTTTTTGAAAACATGTTTTGGTAAACATTGGTTTAGTTGGAAATAGAGTTTGTTGAAACAAGATGTGTGTTTAATATTCTTGTATTAGAAATAGAACAGTTATCGAAAAAAATAAGGGTTAATTTTGATATTACACATTTTTAACTATTTGTCATGTCATTATCTGCATTATGTAACCCCTGGTACATAGAAGTGAGCTGGTTTAAAAGGAGATGGCGGGGTTTTGGTCCTGGAGGTCACGGGTTCGAATCCCAATAGTAACCATTGGCTCTACTATGGCATTATTCTGAAGTAATATATTTAAAATTACGCTCAGATTAATATATACTTGAAAATTACCTTCAGTGCTGATGCAGGAAATCTGCAGTAACAGATTTTACAAAAATATCGCACCTCGCAATCATATTGTGGAAGGCGATACGAACAAAATAAACCTGACTGTAATGCCAACTCATCATTCAAAAGTGGAAGACATTTCCAGTGTTCAGTGGATGAACAAAACGTGGCAAGAAGAGCAGTAACTCATCTGAAACGACAGAGAGATATCAAAAGTGTTATGGGCACATTTGTTGTCGATGTCATCTTGTAATGTGACCGGCGAGATATAAAATTGATAAAAGGTGTTTTATGTGTTCATCAAAAACGCCAGGAGAGGTTATGGGCCCATTGTGATCTGATGGCGCTGTGTTGAATGGTGCGATGATGGCGATAGGTGATGGTGATATACTACAACATGTATATACATATAAATTCTCTATGGACATTAAGTATTGAACTATTTATCACCCAATATAAAACTGTTATTTGAAAAAAAACATTGTAAATTTGCCTTGTTGTATATTGATGATAACCAAGAGTATTAAGTGTACAAACGAAATGTAAGTAGAAACGAAATTCCATTGCTTCCATGGATTGGAAATTCCATTGCGATGATGTACTCGGAGATTCATTTTCCATTGTTTTATTTAAGTACTACTTTATAAGTATAGTGTTTCAGTTCAACGTTCAACGTTTTTACATTGTTATTGTTGGTAGACGAATTATTTAGCTTATTACTTTGTTTGCTATTTGGTGAAACAGAACAAATCTGTCCATAGTATTAAATCCAGACATGAGGTAACAATTTTCAAATAAATCTACCCAAATCATCAACATTTTTGGTTTTATTTTTAGTTTGTGTATATACATATCTTAAATGTGTATTTATCTTAAAAGTTATATTGTACTTATTCAAACATCTCTACATATTCATAACATAAAACTTTGACATATTAATAAAAAAAAATGGCCATTAATTTTTTTTTACTATCTTTATTTATTCATTAGCGTTGTTCCACCTTTGATATTTTAAATAGACCGATTACGTTAAAAACTAAAAATTCACATTTGTTTATATTTTTGTGTATAATAACTACGTTATAATAACCAAAATCATCCAAAAATATTAAATTAAAACTAGAAATACCGTTTGATGTTGGTTGGTAGAGTTTACAAATTAATTAACAAACCCCACATTGGCCACGAGGTATGTAGAGGGCAGGGTGTATTCTTGTGTGATAGGGTTAGATCAATATCCACCAAACCGCTGTTCTGGGTTTATTGCCAGCTTAATGGCCCCCAGAAGTCCCGATATTCCTCCACTTACAGACCCTTTCTAACTCCACACCTTCGCCAGATATATGTTCTTGCCGTGGAGAAATAAATTGGACCTCCATTAAGTGGAAAGTTAGACATCTCTGATTTATTTCAGTTATTTCGACCATGCGATAGAGTAGGAGAGTTCCAACTGTTGCAATTTTCGAAGTGGTTTAACTTGTTTCAGTATATAATAGTGGCAACTAAAAGACACGTTAATTTACTCAAATAAGATGGTTAATATTTATTTGTCACAAAGTGAGATTTCACAGGATCAATGTTTTACTGTTGAGGGCTTAGAGAGCTTCAGTCCGAGCTCTATACGATAATTTCCCTATAATAAATAATAAAGACAAAGTTATATCATTAAGACGATTAGGAAAATGAAATCTTCAACAAACAAAATTGTTGAGGTTTCAATTTATAATTAACTAGCTGTACCCGCGGGCTTTGCCCCGTTTAACTTCATAAGTATTCGCATGGCTCAATCACGTCCTGTTGAAGTTCGTTCGCTACGCTCACTCACCTTTTGGTTGCAAATTAGCTGTTGTCATAAAGAAAATAATAGTGCTGCACCCAGTTGGTAATCCTTGTAACTTTAATGCTATTGAACATCATAGAACAGAACCAACTTGTTTAATTGAAACAGCTGTTAAGATTCATTAATTCCTTTTAAATATGAAAAATCATAAGGTTAACATGGGAAACTCCAGAACCACTGGGGCGGAGCCCGAAAGTCCGATCAGAATAAAAATTACTTAGTTTTCCTATTTAATGCCCAAAGAATCGGTGTACCGAATTTCAGCCTCCTAGGTAAATGGGAAGTGGGAGAATTAGTGATGAGTGAGTGAGTCAGTCAGTGAGTCAGTGAGGGCTTTGCCTTTTATATATTTAGATAACTGGTTCAAATGCTCGAAAACTGTAATTATGGTTGTGGCCAAGAAAACACTACTCATTTATCAAAATAAATTTCAAAAATAGTTGCAGCATCTTAGAGAGGTTGAACATAAAGGCTATTTAAAGAAACATTTAGTTACCCGTCAAAGTACAAAACAACAACTCTTTTGTCTGTCTGGCTGACATTCACTTTTATTGTAGCTTCCAGGGATGTAAAATTAAAACTTGTTAAACTAAAACTTACTGATATAATATACAGGAAATATACAGTCTTCGTATCAAAACAGAAGATAAAGAACCCAAGATATAGAAAATGACAACAAGAGCTTCATATGTGTTTAACTAATATAACTTTTACTTAGTTTTCGACAGCCATCATCATGTAGCTATATTAATATAAATTTAAAAAAACATAACCTGCTTTTATTACATACTTTAATTGTACCTTTAATAATTACGTTATCTTCCAAATTATAACCCTCATATTGCTATGAATCTTGATTTAACTTGGGACCTTGAGTCTATTAAGCGAAACCTGACCTATGTAAAATCTATGTTTTAAGTTCTCCTATTTCACTTATTGATGTTCAAACGCATACATTTACTTATTTCAGTGAATATTAAGTGACATGGATGTGTAAATGACACGTCCCATTGTTAACACATTGTCACGTTAGAGGCCGCTGTTAATGCTGGGTAGTGTACATGTATCAGCCTGATCGTATTCAACATTGGTGATTCATATAGTCACTGGATACTGTAGATTATGTTGTGGCAAGTTGATTGTTTTGCCAGATAGATTTGGTTGTCCATTAGTTTCAACAGTGTCCTTCAGCAAGGTAAACATACATAAGGTTAAATGTACAGTATGATTTAAATCATTTTAGGGTCTAAGAATAAACAGATGGGAAATTTATAAGCCTGGAAAATTGAATAAATATTTTTTTCAAGAGATTTACAATTCCTACAACTTTCTTAAGTCAAAAGTTTAATGACTTTGACAATGACACAGTGGACTTTCAATTATGAATAAAATAAGTATTCGCCTTTGATTTAGAACATCTTTAGCAATCGCTTGTACATTACTGCTTGCTGCTAAACTGGCCCATGTCACAGAACCCCGTGATCCTGTCAATCCCATAACATGATCCATAACATCCCCATAACCGCCCCAAGCATCAATCAACGTCCACCCTACACACCACTAATAGTGACGTTGACAAAGCCGCCGCCCTGGGATACTTATTGCTTCTTTGACTATGGTAAATTTAAGAAGATAGGACATTTAATAAAATTAATATTAGGGTCGGCAGGGGTACTAGAACAAGAGAATATACGATCTACTCTACGTTTATTACTTTACTCCCAAGATGGAATATTGGTTATTTCTTCAACGCTGGTAAACTAAAGTAGAAAGAAACCCCAAAATTGATATCACCTTTATTGGAGACTTACAAGCCACGTTAGGTTTGTATTTGTAGTATTTTTAAAGTTATAATATGATTAATTTTTCAATCTTTTAGGAGTGTAGTCTGAAGCTTGTAGATGATATCCTTGACTCTGGTGAAGTCGAAAAGAAAAAGATGTGTTAAAATTATTTAGACTAAACGGTACGGTTCTTGAAGACATTACGATTTAAAATTAGGTTTAGATCTTTTAACGTTGGTCCGAATAGTAGATTATTCAAAATTTTGTGGATCTATTCACGAAAAACATAAAATGGAAGATATAAGCTAATCCAGTGATTGGATAGATAACCGCGGCCATTTCTTACTTTAGAGGGAATGATACTAATTAGATGAACTGCGTATAAAGTTCTGTGATGGCGGAAGGCTGTTAGTATCACACGGAATGTGCACATTTCAGAGATATGATGTATTGCCAACATTACCGTGATGGAGACAAATCATATAGAGCCAGTGCTACCAACATTGACTTGAACTCCGCGATTACACATTTACGTTGTAAAGATTGTTTTCAACTTCTCTATAAGGTGTTTATACAAAAATTTACTTGATGTAATAATGTTTTACGTATCAATAT